GGTCCTCATTCAGCTTCCTCCCTCGTTTCTGACATCTGTTACTCCCTCCCTGGCTCCTGGCAGAGGACCTCAGCTCTTTCCTCTTAGAGAAACAAACCATCAGATGGGGGCCGTTCTGTTACTCACCCTCTCTCTGCCATCTGCAAACTCACCTTTCTTATGGCCTCGCCTCACCTCTTTCCCTTCTCTCCTGGAGCAAAATCACGGTCTCATCTGTCCTCCATTGATCCTTTAGTTCACCTGGTTGTGTGTGGGCTCTCCTTCCCCCCCACCCCTGCCCCTAGTGCCTTGCCTCTTCCCCGGGCAGCCTTATCCACACACAAAATTCTTAAATGGTATACCCAGTTCTGATCTCCTTCCCTTAGGTTGTATTTCCAACTGCTGACTGAATATCCTCACTCACATACTCCATGGTTTCCTCAAATTCAGCATGTCCAAAGCTAGCATCTTTACTTCTCTCTGGAAAGTGTTCCTTCTTACGTTTTCCCCATTGTGCCGAGTAGTGCCCTGGTTCACTGAATCATGGCCACCAGTTTGGGTGTGTGTGTGTGTGTGTGTGTGTGTGTGTGTGTGTGTGTGTAGTTCCAGAACTGCACTGGCCATTACAGTAGCTACTGGCTACACACATCTATTTATATTTATATTTGAATTCAAATGGACTAAAATAGAATACAATTAAAAATTCAGTTCCTTGGGTCTAGTAGGCACACTGCAAATTCTCAGTAGCCACGTGAGGCCAGAGCAGCTGTGGAACAGCATCACTGTTCCCGGAAGTCATTGGGCGACGCTGCTCTAGGGTGTATTTTACCATTTTTGCTCCCATTTCGCTGTGTTGGAGGCTCATCATCTCTCTCGACTCACCCCCTTTTTCTTGCTCATTTCAGTTCATTCTCTTTTCTAATCAAATGATTTTTTTTAAAGATTGATTTTTTTTTTTTTTTTTTTTTTTTTTTACACAGGGAGCTTGAGTGAGAGAGAGTGCGCAAGCACAAGCAGGGGGAGCGGCAGGCAGGGGAGAGGCAGGCTCCCCGCTGAGCAGGGAGCCCGATGCGGAACTTGATCCCAGGACCCTGGGATCATGACTTGAGCTGAAGGCAGACGCTTAACCAGCTGAGCCACCCAGGCGCCCCTCAAATGATTTTCTTTTTTATAAGACCCTTTACTCCCTTTGAGAGTCATTAAGTTATAAATGAGAAATGCAGAGTTCTGGCATTTTAACGTCATTTCCTTACTTGAACCTTTCAGAGTCCTCCCCAGCTTGCTCCACCCTGCCTCTGTTTGCCTTTTCCTTTTTATTTGCTTGGTGAACAACTACGTGACCTCCAGGATCGAATCCCAGTGTTTCCCACTGTGGCAAGGCAGAGGAAATGTTTCTTTTAGACTTGGACGCTCCTGTTGATAGCCCTTTTCAGAGTGCATTCACATTGCAGTGTTTGGCTCGACTCCAAGCCCCTACAAAACAAGAATTTTATATCGTTTCCAATATATGCAAGAGAGTGACTCCTTTTTTTTTTTTTTCTGAGAGAGAGAGAGAAAGCATATGTGCATGAGTGGGCGTGGGCAGTGGCGGAGGAAGAGGGATAGAATCATAAGTAGGCCCCAGGCTCAGCGTGGAGCCCAACGTGGGGCTCAGTCTCACCACCTGCGATCATAACAGCTGAAATTAAGAGTCGGACACTTACCCGACTGAGCCACCCAGGCACCCCTGCAGCAGACTGACTTCTTTTCAGGGCATCTAGATGAGGACTGGCTACGTCCTCACTTCAGGAGAAATCAGAAACTGGCCACTCAAATCACGTTCTGTGTTTTGTTGCCGAACTCCAATTGAGAAGGCCTGGAAAGGGTGATGAATGACCTTCCTACAAGTATTGATTCCTTGTTTTGGGTAGCTGTGATTCCTGGCTACCCCCTGACTCCGAACCACGTATTTTGTAGAGACAAATGTATTTTCTTTAATAAAATATTTTCTGTGAATGCGGGTATATTATTTAATTATCCCAAACTCAGTGGCTTAAAACAACAGAAATTTATTCTCTCACAGTTCTGGAGTCCACGCAGTCAAGGTGTTGGCAGGGCTGCGCTTCCTCCAAAGGCTCTGGAGGAGAATCCTTTCTTGACTTTCCAGCTTCTGGTAGGTCCTGCAGTTCTTTGACTTGAGGCCAATCTCAGCCTCCATTTTTACTTGGCCCTTTTCTCTGTGCCTCTGTCCCCCCCCCACCCCCCTTAAGTAATCTCTACACTCAAGGTGGAGCTCAAACTCACAACCCCAAGATCAAGAGTCACATGCTCCACCAACTGAGCCAGCCAGATGCCTCATGTACCTCTGTGTCTTAAATTTCCCTCTCCTTTTTCTTACAAGGATACAAGTCATTAGATTTAAGACCCACCCTAAATCCAGGATGATCTCATCCTGAGAGTCTTAATTTAATCATATCTACAAAGACCGTATTCCAAAATGAGGTCACATTCACAGGTACTGTGGGTTTAGAACTTTAAGCTGTCTTTTGGGGGAGGGGGGCAGTGAAGGGCATGATGCAACCTGCTAGAGTGAGTAAGAATAGGAATGAAGACGGTCACAGCTGTGTCTCTCCCCTCTCCCAGGCTTCACCTAAGCTGAAGCAGCAAATTGCCTGTAGCCTTCATTTCTGTGCATTTATTCATTTAAATTAATTAAGACCCCCCCCACCTCCAAATCAAGAAAAGAGAGAAGGCTATTTAATCCAGCTGGCTGTCTATCTTCATGACAAGCTCACTCCACTCCCTTCAGCTGGATTTTTTTCACTGCCTAACAATCACCATTAAATGATAAAGCATAGACCAAAAATAAACATGTTTATCATTCTGTAGTTTTCAAAGGCATTCTCCAGTTCTAACACTTTTTAAACGAAAATGGATATTTAGATTTAGAAATCATTTTAAGCATGCATGCCTGTGCACAAACAAGCGTGGAGAGATAGGAAGAAAGAGTATTAGGTACCTTCTCTGTTTTTATTTTTCAGTGCCATCTAAATTTTCCACAGTGGACATGTAGAAGAAGAAACTTTTTTTCAATAACATGGGTAATTTTAATGCACTTTTAGTAAATTGCCCAAGACAATTTATTTATATATTTTAAAGTAAGGTGAATAGGCCACTTGGCATTGTAGGAACCGACCATGGATTATTCTGTAAATGATTCGGATACTCTTTAGATTTTGGAGTGGTGTTAACATTGTCAGTTATTCAGGACCTCATCAGACTTTGATAGCAGTAGCAGTGGAAATCCCTGGTCTCCATCAGGGAGGTTTCCCGGGTGCCAGGAAGCAGCTTGATGGGAAAGCAGGCCCCCTTTTTGCCATGCCACCAGTCCAGAATAAGGCCTGTCAGCTCTCACCAGCAATACCCTTTGGCTTTAACAAGCATGTGTTTTTCTGCTCTTTAAACTATTTTGAGGTCTGCCCTGTGTCTGGTGTGCTATGAGGATGACCCGTGTTTCCATCAACCCCCCGTTACTGGAAGCTGCAGCAGAGCGTGAGGCACTTTTTAGCTGTTACACCATTGAATGCAATTCGCTCTGAGGGATTTTTCCTATTTTGGCTTCTAATATGTTGATGAATTATTGAAATTTCAATTACTTTTGGTTCCCAATTTAGCAGGATGGAGACATCCAAGATATTTAATATGAAAAGCTTTCCAGTCGCTTTTGGAGAAGGGTTTGGTGTCAAGGATGTGGTTGCATTCCTCCTGTCTCTGGGACTAAAGTGCTGTGCGGCCCCAGGAGTCCCTTAGGACTCAGGGTGTGAGCCCCCAACTGGGAGCATCTGCAGATCCTGGGAGCCTATTAGATATGCAGATTCCACCTACCAAATCAGAATCCCTGGGGATGGGACTCTGGGCTCTTTCACAAGCCTCCTGGACATTCTGGTGCACTGACAAGTTTGGAAAGCCCTGACTTGGATGTCCTGAAGCTAATTCTTCCCAGCAGGACCTGGTGCCCATTTGTAGGGACGCTTGGGTGCTGTAGTCAGTTTGCCCTTCAAGGTAGACACTGTACCTGATGACAAAACTGTGATCCAGGTCATCAGACCAATTTCTCTCAGTTATTTTCACTTACTTGGAATACTTCTCACTTTGGAAATCACTGAGCCATAACCAGAGAGAAGAAAGTCTGTGTAGGTAAATGTGTGTTCTAAATGTAATTCAAAGGACCCTGTGTTTCTCTTTTATGCAGAAAGACTGTTTAGATGTTCCTTTCCGCTGTCCCCTGGATAATCCCACCTTGAAGTCTCTTGGGGGAAAAGCTGCAGGTGCATCTGTGTCTTGCCCTTAGCCTCCCCTCCTTGCTGGTGCCTTCGGCTCTTCCACACCATGCAGTTCTTCCAGTACAGTGTGTCACCCTGACGCCTGTGTTCTCGTGCAAGCTGTTCCCCCACCCCCAGCTTGCTCAACACCCCCATCAGAGCCGGCCCCTCCTCATCTTTTCCATTGCGATCTGGTCACTTACAAGACTCTGTTCAAGCACCATCCCCTCCTTCCCTGTCAACTTGAGATGGAGGTACATTCTTCCCCTTTTCAGCTTTCTACAGCACCCTAGGTGGATATTTACAGCATTAATGTGCGCTTGCATTGAAATGATTTGTTCTCTCTTCCTCTGAGCTTTGAGTTCCAGGTGAGTGGTGATTTCATCCCAGGTTCTCCATCTGTAATGCCCAACACGTTCAGGCCCATGAGGCAGAAGGAACAAACATTCCTTAAAGATGGTCCTTCCTCCTCTGCTGGAAGCCTTCAAAGCCTTAGAAAACATTTTTAGATCATACCTGTGAAAAACAGATGATGGCCAGCCAGTGGCAGGTCTAGTTAAGAATACAACAAACTTTTATGTGGACTCAACCAAGTTAGCTTTAGTTAGGTTTTCAGTGAAGCTAATCTCTTCATGGAAATGAAAACCCAGCCATCTGGCTACTTTGCTCCTTGGCCAGGGAAGCCACCAACTATGTCTAAAGTTTGCATTATTATTTCAGGTTCGAGAGCTTCAAACGCGACTACAGAGCGTGCAGGCCACGGGGCCCTCCAGCCCTGGCCGCCTCACTTCTGCCAACCGCCCAGTTAACCCCAGCACTGGGGAGCTGAGCACAAGCAGCAGCAGCAATGACATTCCCATTGCCAAGGTGAGCGCCCAGGGTTGGGAGGGAAGCCTGCTCTTTTATCTGGAATCCGCACCAGCCTCTACTAAGCATGGCCACTGTGCAGGCCTCGGATGAGCTCACAGGGCCCCGAGGAGCTTCCCTCAAGTCTCTCGCTGGCCTCCTACACTGGGGCTGCAGGGAGAGATAGCCCGCTGGTAGTTTTGTCTGTCTTGGCTGTGACCTGGATGCCAGCTCTCCTTAATCAGCCAGCGGGAGCAGGTCACAGCTGACCAGTCGTTGTGAAAAGTGAGATGTTTTGTCAGGTTCTACCATAGTGAGGGGTGGATGGATAGTTGCTCTGGAGGACTGAGGTTCAGCCCCGGAGGGGACCCTGAGTAATGGACCAGTGATTGCCCTTCTCATAGGACCAACAGCCCTGGCTGCAGAAAAATAGATGCTGCTGGACAGGCCAAGGCAGTTAGAGGAGCGGCCCCACCCCTGCACATATGCTGAGTCTTCCCCAGAGGGACTGTAACAATGGCACATGCGCTCTTCCCTGGGAGGCTACCGGTCTCTGCAGAGGGGTGGGTTCTCAACCATCAAGTTGAATAAGTGGGGTCAAACCATTGTTTCTCAACTAGAAGTGATTCTGTCCCGCCCCCCCCTCCAAGGGATATTGGGCAACGTCTGGAGACAGTTCTGATGGTCACCGCTAGAGTGCTAGTGGCATCTTGCGGCTAGAAGCCAGGGGTGCTGCTAACCATCCCACAGGGCACAGAATAGCCCTCTACAACAAAGAATATCCACCCCAAGATGTCACAAATGCTGAGGGTGGAAAACCCTGGGTGAAGCAGATGGTGGAAAAACTGGATGAGTGAGTTATTTTTAGGAAATTGATGCATCGGTTCAGGTGCCATGACTAAACAGTAGCCCTATATAAGCACAGTCTCGACGGTTTATCTGGAGAGTGATGTGTCATTTTTCGATAATTTTTTGTTTTTCTAGATTGCTGAGAGGGTGAAGCTATCGAAGACCAGGTCCGAGTCTTCGTCATCGGATCGGCCAGTCCTGGGATCAGAAATCAGTAGCATTGGGGTGAGTGTTTGTGAGAAGCAAGGCAAGAGAGTGCCCAGTAGGGCTACACAGATGGCAGATCATAGATGACAGAACTTCCCAAGTTCACCTCCCGTAAACAAGTTAATTATAAAACAAATCATACCCCATTTCCTTCCGGAGGACCAGATTAAAGGGTACAGTGGTTTCCTGATCTGGGAATTACTTCTTCAGCTATAAGGGAGTTTCTCTCTTTCTCTACCTGCAAACTGTCAGAAAGAAATGATTTAGGTCTAGTTACTGGTGATGGAGATGAAAGTCTTAAAGTACCTGCTCTATATCACCCTGCTACCCCAGAGACCGAGTGGGTCAGGGAGCTCTGAAAGAATTTTACCTTTCGCACATGCCTCTTAAAAGGGAACGTGTTCTCCAGTGAGGGTGAATGCTGCCTTTGAAGTGTGGCCCAATGCTGAGAGACACCGGAACCTTCTCGCTTAGTACCCGGGTTTTCATCTGGAGAGCCTACAAACCCCTCGGGGCCGTAAGAGCTGATGGATGGTGAAAAGGGAGTAGTTTTAGTTCCCTAAGGTATATTTTTTTAGGATTGACGATGAGGCTGAGAGAGCCAGCTATTTGATCCCCAGGGGTGGGGAAAGCCTGAACAGTACTTTTAAAGCCCTAATTTAGAATTTTGCGCTGAGAAAATTTGCCTGCGTCCAGATTCGGTGCCAAAGCCAGACTGTGAAAATAAAGGAGCCGGCTGCTCTTAGGCTGCAGCAAGCAGAGACAAGGGCCTGGGGGTAGGGGCAGGGGGCTCAGGAAGGGGAAGGGGGTCCAGACTCTGTCCAATATCCAAAAGTCGAGGAATTCTAAAGAGGCATGCTCCCCCAGGTCTGCTGCCCAGCAGCACATGCCTGGAGGATACAGCTGTGTTTTGATCCTGTTTATGTACTATTTTCACAGTAGTTAACTTTTGATCATAGAATCGTGTTATACAGACTGAGAAAAATCAGGGTCACCATCTTCTGGTGCCTGATTGTCGAGGAATATCGGCTGTAGATTCTTCCACATGCAAAGTCATGCCTGAGGACTGGTCCCTAAAGCGACCACTGTCTAGAGCGGGATTTGTGCTCACCTGTACAGGTATCCAGCAGTGTGGCGGAACACCTGGCCCACTCTCTTCAGGACTGCTCCAACATCCAGGAGATCTTCCAAACACTCTACTCACACGGATCTGCCATCTCGGAAAGCAAAATTAGAGAGTTTGAGGTGGAAACAGAACGGTTGAATAGGTAAGGAGAAATCCTATGTATTTGAGCAGCGGTGTTGCGGGGCTGGGGAGCTGCCCTCCTTTCCCTTTCAAAGATCAATTCAAATTGGCTTAGGAACTGTGACATAGGGGGATGCTGTCAGCCTGGTGGGCGGGAAGTTCCCACCTTCTTGTTCAGCAGAAGATCGCTTACCGCAGTCGGGGCTGGCTTCATGGGCATTGTGTGACCTGTGTGTTCAAATGCACAAGCCTCGTATTTGGAAGGCTCCCCCACTTGGCTTTACTGCTCTACTGTCACCATTTTAATTTCTTGGGGAGCCTGGGGGGCTCCGCTGATTAAGCATCTGCCTTCAGCTCGGGTCCTGATCCCGGGGTCCTAGAATCGAGCCCCGATTTGGGCTCCCTGCTCAGCAGGGACCCTGCTTCTCCCTCTCCCTCTGCAGCTACACCTGCTTGTGTGCTCTCTGTGTCAAATAAACGGATAGAATCTTGAAAAAATAAAAATAAATTCTTAATAATTTATGAAGCAGGGCTCCACCTTTTCATTTTGCACCGGGCCTTGCAAATTATGTAGCAAGTCCTGGGAGCTGTTCGTATTGAATGACAAGTAGGTCAGAAAGACAAACCGGCTACCAAGCGTGCAGGCCTGTGCTGCCAGGAACCACGGAGAGCAGCTCTGGAATGTTGAGTCACCATCCTAGGGGCGCCTGGAGCTATCAGGAACCAGCAAAAGCGGTCTGATCGAGGCATTCTGGGATTGACCAGGCATGCTGGTCTAGCCCTCCCTGCTCCTCCGGAGGGTTGCCTAATTTTTACTTATGTTCTTTGCGAAAGTACACAACCCTCCGTCCCTGCGTTGTATCCCACTTAGTCCTACTTAGAATCAATTTCTAAGTAGCTCTAAGTGTCCTACTTAGAAAATTTTTCCAGTTTTATGGATTCTTCCCAAATCTCACAACAGAGATAGTTAGAGTTTGCACTCATGCCTCTTGGCAAAGCCTGGCTTGTAGGTCATCCCAGCGATGAGAGTTGCTGAAAAAGCAAAGAAGGACCAGGGCCAAGTCCTGGTAAACCACTGACTCAGAATGGGTCCTGCAAGGGCAGAGCGCACTACTGAATCCTATCTCCAAGTGTGGCGTGGCTGCCTTGACCCACCAATCTTCAGTGGGAGAGCATAGTAAGAATTTGAAAGGCTCGTGAACTCACCAGGAAGAAATGTGGATGCCGGTCCCCCTCCACGGTTGCCGAATGCCGTGCCCCTGGTGTCTGGCAAACCTGAATAAATTGAATTACCATATCAGTCCTCCCTGATTTGAAGCTGTTTAATATAGTGCTTGAGGACTAAGGAAACGCAGCAATCTAGGTCATTTCAAATCTGGAAATTAAATGGTTCCCTTATTAAATCCAAAATACTTAAGAGTGACAATCCTGATGATTACCTTGTAGCAATAAAGAAGCAGTCCTCTCTGTACCAGGCCGGGGGCTGCTTAAGAATTGAATCAGATATGCCCTTTGCAATTTAATGAAGTCAGAGGCCTTCAGGGGCCCTCTGTGAGTGAGGATCTCCTCTCCACAGATTCTGGGACTTAACAAGCCTGCTTTGTGGTTGAACTTGGGGGAGGTTCCTTTCTCCTCCTTCTGCACACCTAGGAGACACCAAAGAAAGGGGAAGCATTTGGTGCTTGTAGCTCACGTTACTATGGTGTTTCACAGTTTACAAAGGGTTCTCACAACCACTTAATCTTCAACTTGGGAGGGCAGAACAGTCCCATTTTGCAAGTGAGAAAACAAAGGCTTCGATGTTGAGCAACTTGCTTTGAGTCCAGAGCTGTTAAATAGCTCAGCTGGAATTCTACCCCTGCCCTTGAACTTCCCCTCCAGTGTTTTCCCTATGGCCGTAGCTACAACTAGAATGCGGGAATAACCTTAGAAATAGTCTACTATTATGTCCTCATGTTTGTTATTAACTACCTACCTCAAAGTTGGAGGTCTTGTTACACCCCCCAGAATGAGAGCCCTTAGCTTTTTGATTGTGTGTGGGGTGGGGGGGGTCATACCTCCTCAGAAGTGTTTCCTGACTTAACAAATCTGTTTTAAGTACCTACTCTGTGCTCAGCTATTTGTCAAGCAAAGGAAAGTAAGAGAGACAAGGTCCCTGTCTCTCATGGAGCTTCTGTTCTGTTTGGGGAGCTGTACAAGAAACAAACAAAGGAGATCATAAGAAAACTTCCAGTAAACAGAGCACTGTGATAACGTAGGGGTGGTGGCAGGGGGCGGGGTTGATTATTAAGTAGGGCTCCACATCCAACATGGAGCCCAATGCAGAGCTCGAACTCACAGATCAAGAGTCAGATGCTCAGCCGATAGAACCACCCAGGTGCCCCCAGGAGACGTTGATTTTAGATAGGTAGCCAGGGAAGGCATCTCTGAAGAGGTGGCTTTAAGTTGCGATTTTAAGGGGAAAAGGAAGCAGCCATATGACAAACTAAGAGTTTTACGGAGCAATTGACAACCTTAAGGCGGAAAAGGAGGTTGACATGAAGTGGGAACTGTCCCAAGGCCAATGGAACTGAAATGGAGTGAATGAAAAGTAGTAGTCACAGTAAGGTGGTGGAGTTGGCAGGGCCTGGTGGGTATGAAGTTTGAGGCCGTGGACCAAGTTTGCTCTTTATTCTAAGTGTCGTTGGAAGTCGTTAAAGGGTTTGGTTTCTTTGTTTGGTTGGTTGGTTGGTTGGTTTTTTTATGTAGCAGAAGAACAGATCTGATTTAAATTCTGAGAGCTGACTCAGGTGTGAAGAATGGAAGGAGGGCAAGAGTAGAAGCAGAGCAATGAGTGTAGTGGCCCGATGCGGCCAAGGTGGAGGTGATGTGAGGAGGTGGGGGTCAGTGTGTTTGGTGGTAGAATCGGTGGAAACCGCAGTTGGATTAGATCTGGATGTAAGAGGAAGGGACAGTCTCAAAGAAGATTCTCACGTGTCTCCCATGTATTGCTGGGTGGATGGTGGTAGCATTTACTGAGATGGAGAAGATAGGGAAGGACAGGTTTGGGGGACAATCCAGAGTCGCATTTGGTAATGTTAAATTTGAGGTGCTGGTGTGACATCCACATGGAAATATCAGGAAACAGCTGGAGATGTGAGACAAGCACTCAGAAGAGAGGTCTGGGCTAAAGAAATTTGGGAGCCGAGGAGCGTAAATGCCTGTTAAAGTCACGGGACTGGATAAAATCACCCGGGGGAGCAGGGGGAGTGCTGACAGAGGAGGGTAGCCAGGACTGAGTCCCGACGGAACGCCAGCCCCCACAGATTTCACGGAGAATGAGGAGCCAACACAGGAGACAGAAGAAATGACCTTCAAGGCAGGGAAGAAAACCAGTAGAGAACCTGTCATGCCCCAAGGGAGACAGAACATTTTCAGAAGGAAGGGGTAGCCTGTTGGTGGGGTGCTGCCTGAGAAGACCCCTAAGATGGGATCGGTCACGAGGAGGTCTGTGAGCTGGCTAAAGAGTTTCATCTACTTAGTGGGGACCGAACTGGAGCAAGATGGAGTGTTGATGAGAGCGGTGACTGTTTCGGGAAGTCTTCTTGTCAACAAGAACAGAAAAGTATGTTCTTGTAACACCTTACATTGCATCAAGCTTGGAGTTGCCAAAACCTCATGGTGGTTTTAATTACACGCTCACCAGACATCTCCCATGTTGGTGAGTGTCTCCACATTCTGTTCTAAAACACGTGGTCCTAAGATTGGTCCTCAAGGCAAATGGCTTGCAAGCCCCTTACCATTTTAAGAGTCACTTGCATTGTGTATGTGTGAAACCCTGTGTGTCTTTAAGACTTGGTGGTCAGAGTACTATAAATGGGTGTGTGCATGCGAAATGAATCATTGCATCCAGGGCCTCTGTCCCAGGGCAGAAAACAGAGAAGCTGAAGGCTTATGCTTTTCTGACTTTGCCATAAACTCATTTGACCTGAATTTAGAGTCCTGAGTCCTATAAAGCATGAGGTCCCTGCTGCCTGCCCTGCCTGCAGCCAGCAGTTGTGGGACTGTCCAGCTTGCAAGGAGTTTCGGACACAATCCACAGTTCCTGTCCACCGCCCATTCAGAGGCCCTTAGGGACAGTTTCTTACTCCCTGATCCATCTGTTGCTTCTGCTCTGTAGTGAGTGGCTAAGAGCACAGGATCTGAGGTCAGACTGCCTGAAGGCGCTTAACCCTTCAGGTGCCTCTACTTGCTCTTCTGAGAATGGGGATAATCATACTTAATTCAAAGGGCCACAGTGGGTTATTGAGTAGGGGTTTAACAAAGAGTAGCTATTACTGTGGCACTGCTTCTTGTTTGTCCCCGTGGAGGGTGGCTTATTGAAGTGCACCTGTCCTACCTCTCTGAGGGCCTGAGGTCACGTGGCTGGCTCCTTTCCCGGGTGCATCCTCAGCACCTCACACGGTACCCGGCACATGGTGTGTTGCCGGCTGGGTTGGAAGTAACCAGGGGGCCTGTGTGTATTTCCAGGTCACACAGAATTTAGTGATTCTCATACTTAGGGTTGCTTCCTTTATTATTCACGTCAGTTACGTTTGCTAAAACCGCTGACAAGCTCACACCCTAACACGCGTGTCTGGCCTGGATCTAGATTAGATGGCTCAGCTATCGGCAAATGAATTGTAATCCTCATGTGAAATCGTGAAAAGAGATTTTTCTTCCTTTGTAGCCGCATCGAGCACCTCAAATCCCAAAATGACCTCCTGACCATAACGCTGGAGGAATGCAAAAGCAACGCCGAGAGGATGAGCATGCTGGTGGGAAAGTATGAGTCCAATGCCACGGCGCTGCGGCTGGCCCTGCAGTACAGGTATAGTACAGGTGTACAGGTGCAGTACAGGTACAGTACAGGTGTAGTACAGGTGCAGTACAGGTACAGTACAGGTATGGTACAGGTATAGGGAGATGCAGGCCCTGCATGCGCGTGCGCGAGGTGGGGGAGGGGTTTAATTTAGAAATGCATCCACAGTAACCTGCCTCAAAGTAGAAACCAGGCCTTTAGAACACATATGGAGGGGGTTGGACCAGCAAATACTAATGTGATACATACCGAAAATCCATTAGCACCGTGTGGCAATTAAGAAAATAAGAGTAATGAGTATGGTGTCGGAAAATTGAGGTGTTTCTGCTAGCATGTTCAACTTAAATATTATTTTCTTCAAGTAATATCACTCAAAATATTTTCATATTTATATATCCATTCGCTCTTTCCAGTCTTTTTTCATTGTCCTATATATTTTATATCATTATAAATCTAGGACATTCTGTTTCTTCAGTTTATGGTGGTTTTGTAATGTTGCTTAAGGGTCTACCTGCATTTTGAATGGCTGTATCCCCTGGATCAAGTTTATATATTGTTGTTTTGTTTACTCATTTCTCTAAAAGACATTTAGACTTTTGCAGACTTAGGATATTAAAAATAATTTTTTGTTGAATAATGTAATACAGATAATACCTTCATTCTTTTGAATATTTCCCTTGGAATAAAATCTCCAAAGCAGGAATTAATAGGTCAAAGGATATGAATATTTTTGTGGCTCTTCAGGCACTCTCCCAGTTTTTTCCCATAAAAACAAGCCAGTTTAAATGACTGCAGTTCATTCATCGGTAAGCAAGTGGTATATGAATGTTCCACTTTTTTTCAGCTTCATCAGCTTTGGAATTTATCTGTTTTTAAGTTACTATTTGTTTCATAGCTACAAAGCTGTGCATTATTGTTTTCAGGGGTTTATTTTATTAGTGGCGCCACTTAGGCATATTTGCCAAGATCCCAGAGTAGTGACCGTACTTTATTCTTAGCATTCTCTGAAAAGATCAATATGTTTTAAGAAACTTTAAGAAACTTCGTTCCTTCACAAAACAAAATCAAACCCCAAAACCTATGAGACCAGGGGCGCCTGGGTGGCTTAATCGGTTAAGCATCCGACTCTTGACCTCAGCTCAGGTCTTGATCTCAGGGTTGTGAGTTCAAGCCCCATGTTGGGCTCTACACTGGGCGTGGAGCCTACTTAAAAAAACAAAATACATGAGGGGCGCCTGGGTGGCTCAGTCATTAAGTGTCTGCCTTTGGCTTAGGTCATGATCCCAGGGTCCTGGAATCCGGCCCCGCATCAGGCTCCTTGCTCGGTAGGAGGCCTGCTTCTCCCTCTCTCTGCTGCTCCCCCTGCTTGTGTTCCCTCTCTTGCTGTCTCTCTGTCAAAATAAATAAAATCTTTAAAAAAAGAACAAAACACATGAGACCAAAGCTAGAGCACAGTCGTGCTAGTTTACAGACACACCAAAGCAAGCAGATAATCCACCTGCGATAACTCTTGAAACAGGCTGTTCTGCAGTCTGCCTTTGATCTGTGTGGATGAAGCAATGTCGCAGGATCTCTAACCTGAAAGATGGACTACCCATGAAAAGAGGAGCGGCCAACACCCGGGGCTAGTGATGGGGCCCTTTTCCTTATCTCTTAGTGAAAGAAGATGAAAGTGATACAATAGACAAACAGATGGTCTGTTGACTAAATGTTGAGTAAAGCAACATTTCCCCTGCTTAGCTGAGAGAAGCTAATCGGTTATTTGCTTAGCAGGGAAATTTCTGCACTGCCGGCATCTTGTCCTGGACTACTCAGGCATTACGCACACACTCTGCTTCCTGTGCTGACATGGGTCCCTGTGGGTCACACGTGGCAGTGGGGAAGGGGTCCCTCCTAGATCCTATACCTGGTGTGTCCAGTGATGACAGGCATGAAGAAGAGAGACTGATTTCTTCCTCTTAGAAATTCACATTTGTCAGAGATTTCGTAAGTGTTTCAAGGGGCAACTTTACAAGCATCTGACAGAACTTTCTGTGATGACGGACCTGTTACCTATCTGTGCTGTCTAGTATGGTAACTGCTAGCCACATGTGGCTCTTAAACATTCGATATATGGCTTTCACAACAGAGGAACTGAATTTTTCATTTAACTTAACTTAAATTCTTTTTACTTTAAATAGCCACATGTGGCTAGGGGCTACTACAGGTCTAGGTCAAAATAGTCTTCTTTCTGGGGCCTTCTTTCTTTCTACCAATTATTGTGTAACTATTTCTTGTGGCACAGTTTCAAGGGTTAGGAAGCTGGGAGTGACTTCTCTGGGTTGCATTCCAGCTCGGAGTCTCTTAGGAGGTCCTGCTCAAGCGGTCAGCCAGGGCTGTGTCATCTGAAACCTTAACCAGAGCTGGCTGATGTGCTTCTAGGAAGGCTTATTCACACAGCTGTTTGGTGGAGTCCTCAGTCCTTCACTCACTGTTGGCTGGAAGCCTTAGCTCCTCACCACATGGGTCTCTCCATGGGGCTGCTCGAGAGTCTTTAAGACGTGGCAGCTGGCCTTCTCTAGAGACGATGATCCAAGAGAGAAAGTGAAGGGGGAGAGAGAGAGAGAGAGAGAGAGAGAGAGTGACCAAGATGGAAGTCACGATGCTTTTAAATAACCTCATCTTGGAAGTGACATCCCATATCCTCTTCGTCGCATAGACCAACTCTGGTACAGTGCAGAAGGAGATAACACAAGGGTGCGGATACCAGCATATGGGATCAGTGGGGGCCATCGTGGAAGCTGGCTACCATAGGCATACTACCTTTCCTTTTTAGCCAGTTGTTAAAGAGGCATTAAACTTAACTCTCCCACTTTCATTGCTTCCCTTGTATTTTTCTGCATCCTAGTTCAAGTATGTATTTGTTTTTAGAGCGAGAGGACATGCACTTGGGTGCGAGTGGGGGTGGGGAGTGGCAGAAGGACAGGGAGAGAATCCCAGGCAGGCTCTACACGGGGCTCGATCTCACCACCCTGAGCCAAAATCAAGAGTTGGATGCTTAACAGACTGAGCCACCCAGGCACCCCTAGATCCTAGTTTAAAGTAAAAGTTTAAGTTAAGTAAAAAGGGGGGGGTGGGCAACATAGCAGAGCAGCAAGCCCTTGGCTTTATGCAGGAATATTTTCGGGTATTTCCTCACTTACATGGACAGCGAGGTTGGAGCTGCTTCCCTGGGGGCACAGTGCTGCCCTGAGGAGGCCCACCGTCCTCTGCCAGAACTGAGGGTACCCTGTGCTTCTGTCCCAGTGAGCAGTGCATAGAAGCCTACGAACTCCTCCTGGCACTGGCCGAGAGCGAGCAGAGCCTCATCCTGGGGCAGTTCCGGGCGGCCGGCGTGGGCTCCTCCCCTGGTGAGTGTGGCCCGAGTTCCTCCCTCCCTCTGCCTTCTCGTCCCCTGCAATGGTCCCCCCATTTCGCTGTTGGCATCGGAACACCTCCCGACGACACGAAATTCGCTTGTCAAGTGTGTTTTTCGTTTCTTCCTCATGACTGAGTGAGTAAATTGTTTATGTTGAATGCAGTAAGAACTGGAGTGGAAACAGAATTACGGGCAAGTTAAAACAAACAAGGCCTCTTAGGAAACATACTCTCCCGGGCCAACAGTAGGACCAGATGGAGCAGGAGGCCCACGGTTTGTGATGAAAGGGACCAACTTTCCCACAGCCTCTCTGGGATGCTGATTGTTAAGGGTCCCTTTGCTGCCCACGTGGCCTTTGTGGAGACTCGCTGCTTCCGTTGGCTGCCTGGCCTCAGGTTTGTTCTTTTGGGCGGTTTTGAGGCATGGGCTCCCCCTGTCTGGTCTCCAGGTGCCTTGTGAACACAGAGGAAGTGGTTTCTCACCCTGCTGTCCACTGCAGGGGGCTATCCCCGGAGCGCAGAGCCCAGCCCTGTGGGGGAACGGAGCGGTCCACTGACCCACTCGCCTCCCCCGCCCTGGGGGCATGTGTCCTGTTGGCCCGCTCTGTACCTCAGATCTGTACCGCCCCCTACAGTGACCCCTCAATTTTGAGTAACTGGAAGACGTATATAATTGAAAAAGACACAATTGTGTCATCCTGGTTAGCAGTATTTGCTAAAACTTGGCCTGTGCTTATGCTCTGGGCCTTAACTGTAGTGTGAGGAGGACACAGGAGAAATAGTGCTTAGGAGGGAAGAGAGATCAAGGGAGAGAGGTTGCCATAGCTCAGTGCCGAGGCCTGGATGCTCCCTCAGCCTCCGCTTTAGAACAGTAGCTTCTTTGGAGAAGCACCGACAGGTACACAGAAAACTGTTTAACTCCAGGGCCGAACCTGGGCAGGTGGGCAAACCAGGAGTCCCCGGCCACGGGCACCAGGCCATCTGCCAGGGACGGGCTTCTCGGCCAGGGCTGGGAACCTCCACTGGGGCCGCCCTTCCAGGAGGCATCTTGTGAAGAATGTCTGCATCAGGGCCCCTGCGGACTGCAGCCCCACCCCCCCACCCCCCCACCCCCGCTCTTCTCACCAGCTCCTGCCCCTCCCCCTCCCCTGGGGTCAAGCTTGGGCACTGACCACTCACAGGTGTTTCCTCCTTCAGTTTTGACCTGGACAAGAATCTAAGCAAATCTCAAGGAAAGGAAGTATCCTGAGCATTAATTTCCTGCTTCATATCTAAGTTATGAGGCAAAGGAGCAGGCCTCCGTTTGTATGGTGACCACCCTCCTCTCCCTCTCTCTCTCTCTCTCTCTCTCTCTTTTAAAACAGAATTAACATCCCGCCCCAGAAGTAGAAACTCTGCCAGCATTTCCATTAGAAACCTCATTTTTCAGGGTCTTTCCACTAAACCATAAAACTTTATACCTCATATTAAACAGATCCTAAAATGATCTGGCCAGCTGTCAAGTTTTTTTTTTTAAATATATGTATTAAGGAAAATGATCAATTAAAGGGGAAAAAAATCAGTCCTCTTATTTTCAGTTTGTATCATCAGACAATGTCTTTAAACCATCCTGCCCTGGAAAGGCACCTTTCATTAGGCTTGTCTCTACTTGGCGCAGTTTCTTGGTAGGAGCTGGAAGGGCTTATATAAATCTGCATTTAAAATACTTAAAATCAATAATGAAATGCTTTGCATTAACATAATCCTGGGTAGCTCATGATATATTTATAGAATGAGCCAGTCAGTATTACCATGCCTTCTTCAGCACAGAATTCGAAGAGCAGTCAGTTGGTGAGACAGATGTAAGATATACCTCGTTTGTGGAAGGAAGAAAGGACGGACTGATGGGAGAAAGGAAGGAAGAAAGTCAGACATGAAAGCTGTCAGAGACATGGCCGCAGGGGGCCCAGGGAAGCTCAGCCTGCAGGAAGGAGGCCCCCACACTTCTTCCCCACTCTCCGTAAAGCTGTGAGTTGGCTTACCTGGAGCAGCTCCCTGTTAAATCTCCCTTCCATTCCGCTGACGGCAGCGGTGGACCTGCCATTCTGCTGAGCAAGTACTGGTTGATGACATTACCCCCAGTACCAGCCCCGGTGGTTTTTTCTGTTTCTTGTTGATGGCACAGGCATTCGTTACACTCACTCTAGATGACTTAAACCAGTGGTTTTCAAACTGCTGTGGGAAGCTGGAGGAGTGTCTTAGGGCCTCAGCAGTGGGCTCAGAGGATGGGAGGACCCAGAGTGTATCACCCCCACACCTGTTCACATCAGCCGGTTCTGCATTTACCATTTTGGTGTCTTAGGCTTCGGCATATGGTTCCATTTGAAAGCATCTGGAAGACTAGGGATGTAGGCTGAGGAGGCAGCAAACTGGTGACTTGTTGGGCCAGTATGGTTTTTAGAACACAACAAGACCGTGAACATTTTCGACCAGAGAGTCGCCGTCTGGCTCTGTGTGGGTGCCAGCCACTCCTGAGGTCTCGCTCCAGCCCAGGTACCTGATTTCTGGAGGCATCGGGGCTCACCAGTGACAGTGTCCCAGCGGAGACAGGAAAGTCAGGGATAGCACTGCTACAGAAAAGACATTGCCGATCTCAAGTTCTCATTTTAACTCTTCGGTGTGTTTCTCTTGCCTACCCAAAGATCTAAGCAAAGCTCTGGATGTGTGCAGGGCACAGTTTGGTCCTCGTTCATGAGAAAGTGCCACCGCAGGAAAGAATGGCCAAGCGGTAGATTGCAACTGAGTGGGAGAAGTCAGGAGCCTGAATAATTAGAAAATCATAGCATGTTAGCGCTAGAGACAGACCTCAGAGATCGCCCTGCCAGCCCTTCATCGATAGGGTCCGTAGAGCCCAGAGCAGAGACATGCCTTGCTCCATATGGTCTCTAAGTGACGGCGCCCAGCCCCTGCACATGGGTCTCTTCACTGGCCGTCCACTGCTAGTTTCTCTCCCCACCGGGCCACCTCTGCCCTGAGTAACGAAGAACCGATGCTCCGGCCGCACTCCCAGGCTTGTCTCGTGTAGAACTGTGTTGATTAATCCTTTGGCCTCTTTGCAACATAGGAGACCAGTCAGGGGATGAGAACATCACTCAGATGCTCAGGCGCGCTCACGACTGCCGGAAGACAGCTGAGAATGCAGCCAAGGCCCTGCTCATGAAGCTGGACGGCAGCTGCGGGGGCGCCTTTGCTGTGGCCGGCTGCAGCGTGCAGCCCTGGGAGAGCCTGTCCTCCAACAGCCACACCAGGTAATTCTCGGCCCTCCTGCCACCAGATGGACGCGTGTCCATGTGTGGTCTGCTCACCAGGCTTGACATGTGGTGGCCCAGCTGCCGGAGACTGTGAGGCATGGATGAGGACAGCATTGTCCCCGTGCCTGTAGCCTGCTCTGTCCGGGGGGTCGGGGCATCAGCATGGCAGAGCTGGGAAGGGCCTGCCGTGGCCAGTGTGGGAACCACAGCCCAGAGAGAAGGGGACGTTTGCTTAAGAAGGTGGAACCTGAAGATGGAGCCTGAACCTCCCTTTCTGTCTGGTGCTCTCTCCCCCGCTTTGTTCTGGTCACCATTTCTTCATAGTTTTTGATTTCTGAGAGTATTTGGGGTAGCGTGAGGCCCATTTGCTACAAGCGGTCCCTAAGCACCCACGACCCGCACCGCATCCTATTTCCAGGCTCCGTTCTCTGCCCCCTCCTCCTCAGGCCTCTGTCCTTTGTAAGCTTTTCTTGGGCAATAGCTTCCTCTTTTCCCATCTCTTTTGCTCCGCAGAGTGATGCCAGATTCATAGCAGGTACTCAGCAGACGCTCAGTGACGAACCTGAGTTCAGGTTCTGTGTCTGTGAATCTAGAAAACTTCAGTGGGTACGTGAAAAAGATGGGGAGGAAAGCAGTGAAGACCTGGCTAAGCATAATTTGCTGAAGTTGTTGGATTCTTGCAGAAGGGGGGAGAGGGTCAGAATGAAGCCTCTGCCAGCGATCTTCTCATATCTTACCACCGAAGCCCTGAAACCATGAATGCCTTCCTTGTATATATCAGTTCTCGGTCTAGAAAGTACTTTGTTACAGATTTTCGTATGGTAGCCAAATCACAAAAGACAGGAAGGGTGACTTTACCCCATTCGCACAGGTGAGAAAGCCTCATCAGCTCAGAGATCTGTAAGTGACTTGGCTCAATAAGGTCTCACGGCTGATAGAGGGGAATCAGGACTGAGCCCCAGCACTTTGGCACCAAGCATATTATTCTTGCCACTACAACAGGTTGGATATCATGACGTTAAAAAACAGCGCCCACTTGCAGATCAAGGGACAAGAACCACATAAGGCTAGATGGAATCTCAAGAGCCAAAGGAGAAATACTGATGTTTCCTTGGTGCCTGAAAGCAACTTAACATTGTCATCTCTCTCTCAACTGGCAAGACCCAGCCATCTGCCTGAGTGCCTCCACTTACCTGCCCTGGACCCGGGGCCTCAGGAGAGGGGCCATTCCCAGAAACGGAGTTGGCCGGGTGCCCACCATCTCAAGGGAATTAGTTGCATTTGACTCCAGCGCACCAGTCGTCTTATTCAGTGAAACAGAGATTATAATGTATTTTTTTCTTAAAAACCACAGTCTTCTGCTTAACACAGAAAGCAGTTGCTCTTCTTAATGACTTTCCCAGATGGGTATGATCTGTAATTTCCTTGTTCGTTTAGAGTAGAAACGTAGTCCTCGTGTTGTCAGTGGTACTGTCCTGTGGAATTAGTGAGCAGGAGAAGCAAGTTGACGGGGAGTATATGCTGTTTCAGTGGCTTCTAAGGAACGTGTTACACATCTTGTGCTCACACCTCCCCACCCCCAAAATAATTTTGTTTTAATCCAAATCACAGACAGATTTGGAGTCTGTCAAAAGTAAGAACTCTCACCATCCATTTAGGGAAGATCCTGGTCTTGAACGCTTGTTAGAAATACCTTAATGTATAGGTGAGCCTTGATTCTGAGACAGCTTTCTCAGAGAAATTTCACTTTTTGGTGATATATCAACGCAGGGTGAGATCAATTCAGGACATGATCTTTATTTTTAAGGATGATCTCACAAAAGAATGGCCCTTGAACTGATTTCAGTCTCAAATGGGTCCTCCATCAAAGTACCAGGACTTTAATTCAGATTTCACTCCATTGTCCTTAAAAATCCATTTTCACCCTCCCACCCAAGTGCGAGTAGCCAGGGTGGGCACGAAAGCACCACACACAGACTGTTCGTGTGGCACACCACATTCTTTGGTCCTGACACAACCAGACTACTTGAAGCGACATGTGGGCTCTGAAAAAACGTCCCAAACCACCAACCCTTTCCATAATTACAATGACTAATTTTGTGTGTAAATCTTGCCATTCCAGCTCAGACATCCCCCCCATGTCACGTTTAGGGGAGAAAGAAATGAGAGTTTTCTGTGTCGGAGCTTTACATGGCTCCATAGCCCCCTTTCCTCCCACTGTCACCAGCTGGTGCAGAGAAACCTAATCAGAGTCCGCTGCTCCTCAGGGTCTCAGGAAAGGAACACTGAGTGTCAGGTCTCCAGATGCCTTTCTGGCAACGGACGAACGGCCCCTGATGACAGGAGGGTCATGATTCGGGAAAGGAGCAGCAGAAGAGCAGTTCCCAGCAAGGAGAATAAAAATGGTAGCCAGCCTATCAGCTGACTATTGGCAGGAGCCCAGAGACACTGCTGTTTCACTTTTGAAAAATTGAACCATAGCCTCATCAGGAGTTATCATTGTCTTAATGGACAGAGGAACTAGGTAATATTGACAGCCTGGATAGCTTTATCAGCCTCTCACAACAGAGAGGCCAGTGGACTAAATTGTTGAGGTGGGAATAGGGAATCCTTAATCAAGCCCACCCTTCCTGTCCAGCATCACAATTTCAGTTCATTCCATGGAAACACAGTCATCGATCTAAATCTACGGAAGGACATGCGGCCAAGACAGAATAAGCCTCAGCAGGTCTGCTCTAGTGGAGACTAGAGCTGCGTTCCTCCTGTCCCGCCGTTGGGTCGGGATCACGGTGAGCCATGGGAATCCGGTGATTGCGGGCTCGCGGGTGAGCCGCCGGGCACCTTCCGGGCGTCAGGGTTCCGCCTGGCTGACCATTCACCCCCAAAGTGGAATAAGGGCAGTGGAACTCAGGATGCCCACCTTTCACCTTTTAAGTTTGTCTTCTTAGGTGAAGTCTCACTGGAGCAGAAAGGAGGGTGGATGACAGTGGAACCCTGTCCTTTGAAGGGCTGGATGGGATTAGAATGGCCGGCCCATTAGGAAAGGCCGGGGCCACCACCATCGGCAAGCTTCGGGGAGTGAGAGACCAGATATGGCTGTGGTAACTGTAATCTTCACGTCCCTCTGAAGAAGGGAGTTGCTTTCTCATCCCAAGTGTCAGGAGAGTCCATCCAGAGTCCTTGGGATTAATGCTTAGAAGCGCTAGTAGATTCTAAAGTCCAGCGCAGACACATTCCCCAACATGACAGCATGGTGCTCAGGCCTGCTGCTCAAATGTCTTTGTCATTTATCTTTTAGGCTCTGTGAAAACTAGGTAGAGAGCTGAAATGCCTTTAAAAAACTACCTGATTTCAAAAGAATTACATGATCATTTTTTTTTAAGATTTTATTTATTTATTTGAGAGAGAGAGAAAGCATGAGCAGGGGGAGAGGCAGAGGGAGAAGCAGGCTCCCCACTGAGCAGGGAGCCCGATGCAGGGCTTGATCCCAGGACCCCAGGATCATGACCTGAGCTGAAGGCAGACTCTTAACCGACTGCAGCACCCAGGTGCCCCAGAATTACATGATCATTGTAGAACTAGATAATTAAAATCCAAGCATTATATCAAATTCTCCATGGGAGGACCCTCACACGGAAAGGACACTACAAACAGTTTGGGGTATATTTCCACAGATGTACCTGTCCATTTTTTCCTTTGTTTATGCCCTTGGCTGACCCTTTTTTTTTTTTCCATGTGGTATTCATATCTGTCAGTAGCTGCCCACTCACATTGGATGGCAGTCCATCATGTATTCAAGCGGCTTCCTCTTGTTGGACATTTCTACCCACCTTTTCACTATTAACCGTTAGAGCCACCGTCCTTGACCGCACACCTATCCTTCTTGTGTGCAATTTCTGTGGGAAACTCAAAGAAACAGAATTTGCTGGCCCAAAAACGATTGTTTCCAATATAAAATAGCCCTCCATATGTGATCAAGTTATTCTCCTCTTCCTCCACACCCTTGCTAAAACTGGGTAGTATAGATTTTTTCGATTTGGCTGATCTCTGGGCAAAAACCCTTAATACTTTGCTTTCTACCTCCTAATTGTTGATCTCTTGGTATGTTACCCGTGACTGAATGAGGAAAAGGTTAATGTTTGGTTGAGAGAGGTCTCATTTCCAACACTGTTATAAGGACACCTTTATAAATGGCTGTGGAAATAGAATGTTTCTCATTTTGCCTTTCAGCTAAGTTTTTGGGAGCTTTCTGGAACCAGGCAGGTTTTGAGGACTTCAGTTATCTGGCAACAGATTTTCCCTGTATTTTGTTAGATAATTTTTCTTCATATAACCTCTACTTCTCCTCCTAGAGAATTCTGATAACCATCCGAGAGAATATAGACCTAAAAGGTTAGGATTGTGTTTAGGTGTTTTTAGTCCTTGGTGACAATTGTCAGACGAGGCGGGGAGGTACCCACAGCCAACACTCCAAGATGCCGGCAGTTGACAAGGCCCACCTTCTGCTTGGAGGAATGGGGGCCACTTAGGAGTGGCTGACCCCCTCCTTCAAGTAAATTTAAAATGCTCAGCAAATCAGAAGGCCAGCCTGATGGCATTTTCCTTCTGAAAATGAGCTGCCCTGGTGGAAATGAAATCTTAATGGGGGCCAGGTAAGACATTGATAAAAACTCAGGGGAAAACCCATCTCTGGTTTTTGTGGCAAAGAAATGAAATGCCATTCTAGCTTTTTGCCATGACAAGATGAGGCTGCAGAGAAATGGGTTTTTCTTCTAAAAAGCAGGATGGGGAGTTGTCTTGAGGATGAGGCTGGGACGTGAAGAAAGGGGACAGAAGACCAGATATTTGAAACCCACAGCTGCTTAACTAAACCCAAGTCCATGTCCCCTTGTGGCCAGGGCAGGTGGGAGGGTACGATGTCCCAGGCAGCAGGCACTCCCCCTCCACCCCCTGGCTGTAGGCCACCCCACGTGCGGTGTGCCAGAAGATTCCTGGCA